AGCAACTAGATGCCACATTTGTGCCTGTCTGTTGTTAATTGCCTCCCTCGGTATGATAGTTAAGCAGATACACTGGGAACGTGCTACATGGTTTCATGCTTTGGTTAGATGGTTAGTGGAAACCAGACAACGTTATTTTATGTTTTTAATTTAACTATCCCTAATAGCGTTTGCAAAGCTGTATGGAGACAGTCAAAGAAAGTATGACACCACACTAAATAAAGTTGCCAGATATAAATATTCCCTCAGGGCCTGAGTTTTCGCTGAAGTCAATGGGAATTTTAGCACAGTCTTCAGCACAAGCAGGATCGAAGCTTTAATAATAGCCGCTAACGGAAATATCCGTTGGGAGATAAATGATGAGCTGTGGCATTAATTATGGCACGCGGGGGGGGGGGGGATTTTAAAAACGGATTGGGGCTTTGAAATCTGCAGGAAAGTTCTCTGTGTAACCGACCAGACGTGGCGAAACTGGGAGTAGGTCTGCGACATCCGTTTGTGCGTAAGGGAGAATTTCTCGCCACTTTTTGTAGAGGATGGTATTTTAATGTACGCTCTGCTAATGCGAGCCATGTGATCCGAAATTAGAAAAGAGTTTGAACTAGTATGGAGACGAACGACAGATGCATTATAAAGTGGGGGCTACATCGCATTTATAAACCGGATCTGTATGTTGTAGCTGCATCACATCGTATGACAATTTCCTAGAGGAAAATAACGATCTCAGGAATTTTATTCCTAGTTAATAAAGCATTTATCTCGCCGTGCGGACAATAGCTCGTGCGGCTGGATTGGAGCACTCCATGGACTCTGGTTTGCCCAGCCACTTTCTTTGCAAGACTTACGTCTCCAAGCACAAGTCCCGCTCACTGATGCATTTATTCTAGCACATCAAAACGACCCCTGATTTGGGAGAAGTCATTTCACTCAAGGTGTCGGTCCAGGAGACACTCGCTTACGGTTCGTGCCCTCCCTGCGCTCAGATGATTAATATATTCCCTTTAATCCCTTTCTTCATGACTGATAGATTCCCCCTGCCAGCGCTCCGATTTGTTTCCGTGTCTTGGTAGGGGGACAAACAGCCCAGCTCCCACTTCAGCATGGTGTCTCTAATTGACTTCTAGTCTACTTTTTATGGCGACATATGCTTCTCACAAAGCTCTTATTAGGACAAGCTGCTTTCACTAATTGAGAGTTGCAGAATGCGGAAGGCAGGCTGGATTTCACATCCACCAACTCCAGGGGATTCAGGGAAGGAAAGGTTCCCTGCACACTCTGCATCGGGTCCCTAAGATCAGATAACCAAGGCAAAGTAGTCTCCTCCTCAGAAGAGGATACCATTTCTAACCGCCGCTGCGCATCGCAGATCCCAGGGAAGCGCCAAGAAGCACGTGAAAGGCTACCTAGGGAGAGATCCTGTACCAGCCCTTGTGCGCAATGCTAACTCGGCCGAGCAAAGATTACGCAAGTGCAGAAGGGCTGCTGGACTGAGCTGTCGGAGGAGTTATTCCGATCAGCTGGAAAAGCAAGGCACGTGCAAGTGCCAATTAGGAAGCTGATTAATTGTGAGCTGCTAGGTCACATATGATCAGTACCATGAGCTTTACGATTGCAACTCACACAACCGAAATAAATAAATAAATAAATAAATAAATAGCCCCTTCCCAATTAGAGTAAAAGCAACACAGGGAAAAAATTAACTCACCAACTGTTTAAAGCACCGCCTCAGGGGCAACTAACGCAACCCTTTTAATACCGATACCCACATTTTTTAATAATGTGCAGGAAGATCCCGACGGGAAAGTTATGCACGTGGAGGGCTCGATTGGGGGCGGACAGGACACGTTTAACGACACGTAGCTACACATGGCTCAGCTTTATCGTGTATTTCGCTCGCTCTCTGCCATCTGGCAATGAATTCTCGGACTTAGGGGCGAGTTTGGCATAGAGGGACAAGGCCTAAAGCCCTCACCAGGCAGCTGACTCTAAAAGGATATTTTAAATCTATCTGAGGTGGGCATAAGGAAAGCTGCCCTCAGGCGTAGATGGTCAGTACCTAGCCAGTATATAGTCAATACCTAGCCTCCTTCCCTGCGTTGGTGCGTGTAATTTACTACCAAAGCACCACCGCTAGAATCGCCCACAGTCAAGTCAGCAAATATTAACCTGATCCCCTCCCCGCAGCCTGCCTTAGCCATGAAAGAGCAGACGACTGAGAGGAGCTCAGTATGTCCATTTCTGTTGTGCTTCGCAGAACTTCTGAAAGATCCTGCTTACTGAAAAGAAATAACCACAACTTAAGTCTGGATGGATGGCTAGATCAGTAATGTACGCCTGGTGAAAAAGCAATTGGCTTTTGCAACCCTGTGCCCGAATGAAGTCTTCCGTACTCTTCTTGTTTCCAGTTTTGCACATCAGTCAAATGCAATGTTTGTAAAAGTTGCATTTTTTTTCATTCACTTGCAAACACGTCCCAAAGCGAATGTGGTTTCTCTGGGTGGCGGGCTCACACAGGAGCAAAGCTCCTCAAGCCTGTAGCCCTCAGGCTGGTGGGCAGAAGGGGGAGCCTCGTGCAGGGATGGATGGGGGCTGAGGGATACACCAGTGAATAGCGGAGCCAGCCGGGTACAGGGCGCACTGCTTTTGGGGTTAGCTTTAATCGTGTGGCTGGCTTCAATGCATCTCTCCGCGCGGTGGGTGTTGCTGGGGCCTCTTTCAGCAGGAAAGGTGATCTGTTTGATCCTATCGGAAAGGTGCAGGAGTATTCCTGTGTCCCCTTCCCCAGCAGCCACAGTGGCTCCGTTACAATCAGCGAAATCGCCTGGCTCATCCCCTCAAGCCAGGCACTCGCCGCACTGATCGCTTGTTGGCCTGCCCCAGCTCTGCCGCTGTACAGCGCCTAGCACAACGGGGCGCTAGGGCGCCACTAGGGCTCCTGGGGCGGCCCTACAGTAAATAATGGCCCTACCTGCGTCTGAGCCATTCCCTTTGAAAATAAGAGAGATGGACATTAAGGCAGCGTCAGGACCCTGTGGCTGGGATGCCCCAAGATTTAGTCCATCAGCCCTTAACCCAAAGTCCCCGGGTTAAATCCATGCTCGGTTCCACCCGGGGCCGGTGGGGCGGCTCTGCCGAGCAGATAAAGGAGGCGGTTTTGGGCGTCCAATACAGCAAAGGGGGAGCGCTGATTAAACCGGCTCCACAGCTCCGGCCTGCCCCCCCCCCCCCCACACACACACACACCGAGTTGGCCTGTCAGGACCGGAACCGCCCATGTCTCAGTATTAAACCCCTGTCCATTCAATCGGGCAGTGCCGGTAAAACCAGACTGGAGCGAGCGTTTCTGGCCTAGCCGGCTTCGCTCGGGCAGCAACCCCCTCCACCCCCGTAGAGACTGGATTGAAATCCCGATCCTGTTCCCAATGGCAAAGCGCCCCGGAAAGAGCCAGCAAGTAGCAGCTACTCGCGATCTGATCCTGCTCCCACTGGAGTCCAGCAGGGTTCCGGCTCTTAGGTGAGAGCAGAGGACTAGGAAATCCATCCCCACCCTCTGGCTGCCCCTACTCTTCGGGCTGCAAACCCTCTTTGGAAGTGTTTACTCGTGTTTAAAAATAAGATACTTTGTCCTGTATCTAAAGTGCCAGAGACATCCCCTAGCTCCAGATCTTTCTTTTAGCGCCATCCACAGCGCGTTCTGACTGCAGATGACCTGGGACAAAGGTTCTTAAATCAGCAGGAAATAAGCTGAAGAGCTCAGACATTAAGATTGGCCAGTATGGGAGAAGAAATCCGTGTCTCCCACTTGAATGGGGCATCTGCTTTTCCAGCTAGTTACTACGTAAAGGAGGAAGGATTTATTTTTCAGAATGTACTAGGACAGTCAGGTTTTACTACTTGAGGGTGGAACGAAAAGCCAATCTCCTTCTCTCGAGTAAAGGGACATGAAGATGAAGAAATCATAGTAAAACTAAGCAGCCTACCAGGGCAAAGTCTGCTGGTTTGTTCCTTTTCATTTCCACTCAAATTTAAATACACATTGGGACCCTAAAATATAGTTCTCTTTTTAGTGAGTGAGAGAAAAAGGCAGGGAAGGACGTTCTTTGGTTTTGCTGTGATATTTTAGCGATGTACTTGTGTGGAGTCGTGGTGCTTGTGTTGAGGTGGATGGGGGGAAGGTATCTGCGACCGGTGGCTCCAGGGGCCTTTTCCCAACCCCCCTCCTGGCCAGTCCCAGAGATTTATTAAAACCCTTCAGGTTCCAATAAGTATTCTTATTTTATAGTTCAATTTACAAGACTTCTTAATTAAAGACCGATTCGGATTGAATCCGAGCTCTGATTACTGATCCCATATCAAGGGCAGTCATTGCCGAGCGTGGAAAGGTGTTAGAAACCCCTGGATGCGGCTTTAGATGCGGATTTCACCCCTCCGCCAGCCCCCCTACACAGCGCGGTGTGTCTGCCCTGCTCCCTGGGTACCTAACTCACACCCGCACCCCTGCTGCAGCCATCCCCTGGGCGATTAACAACCGTGCGTTCCTGGTGAGCACGTCTCCCCAACCTCTCCTGCCAGGCGCACACGGTCCCTCCCCAGCCCAGCCGCCCGATGTCCCGCTTGTGGCGCTGACGCCAGCGCCTGACTTCCCCGGGACCATGTAGCCGTTCCCCACCAGATACTGGCCCCTCTGCCCGATCCAGCAATAACTGCCATTGCTCACTCCCAGCTGGCCATCTCCAAGCCCTTCAGGCGCGCACAGCTCAGACCGAACCCCCAATCCGACTCTCTCTTTCCAGGACAAGGACAGTCGCTTTCAAGCCCAGTCTTCCCCCAGAGTAACGCTCCCTCTGCTAAAGGACACAGCTCGAGCTGTGGGATAGTGTAATTACGGCAGCTCCCCCGCCCCCCCAAAATTAGTTTGATCACAGGCTGTCCCCTGCGCGCTGCCGCCTGCTTTATCTGCGCCCCTGCGTTGCGCGCGGGGGAGCCCAGGTCTCACTTACTGTCCTGCTGCGGGGTGTCGCTGCCGCTGGTTAGCCCCGGGGATTCCAGCAAGCTTCTGCCGGCTTCCCCTACGCTCTCGTCCGCCTGAGCCGCCACCATGTCTCCGGCTTCCTCCAGATCCAACAGGTGACTGACGGAGAAGTTCTTTTTGGCCTGTAAGTTGTCCAGGTTGCTGGGGTTCTCCAAGCGGGTGGCTAGGACGGCCTGTCTCTCCATGATGTGGGCATAGCTGGAAGTCATGGTTTCCTCCAAGTCTTAAAGGGAAAGTGCAGGCAAAAGAGGAGGGAGAGAGGGTGGGGGGGGAATACAAGGGACCCTCCCCAAAATCTCAGACGCTGTCCCCGGAGCAGGGGCGCTCCCTGGGCTTCCTTCGGCAGGTTCCAGGGGGCGAATCCGGCCTCCCTCTGCCCAGTTCTCACGCGAAAGTGACACAGAAAGCGAGAGAGAGAGAAGGAGGGAGGGGATGGGGGAGGGGGGGAGAGGAATCGAAACGTGTCTTTCAGGAGAAGCGGCGTATTCCCAGGCAGGCACCAGCAGCAAGAGGCTTGTCCCGGCTTTAAACCATCTCCAAGAGAGCGCGCTGCCCCCTGTGCGCTCCTGGTGAGTCTCAGGAGTAACTGAGGTTTCAGGTCACGGGTGCTGATGTCTTGCAGATGTACTCGCGAGTATTAGCTCTCACCGAAGGGAAGACGAGGGTTTTCAGGAGTCCGAAGGAGCCCCCCCCCCCTCCCCCGGTCCCGCTCTCAGTTGCTCTCCCCCTCCCCTCTCAGTTGGATCAAGCCGCTCTCTGGCACTTCAAAAGGGCCAGTATGGCACACAGGGGAGACTTTGCAGGGAATACATGAAAATTGGAGACCCAAGGGAGGGCAGCTCGAGACTTAATAGGGGCCTGTAATTACGTGGCAAAGTCTTTGTGCTGTTTCTGACGTTTTACAGACCCCTCTTCTCCAGCGCAAACTCTCCCCCCACCACCAAAAACACACTGATTAAAAACTCCCCTCCCCCCCCCCCCTTCGCCAACATCTGATGTAGCGAGAGAGCGCGGGGAAGACCCTTTGCTTGTCTTAAATAAAGATCGAATTCTCTCTCTCCCTCCTTGCAATAGGATCTCTGGCAGAAAAGTCAAACTGAAAGCCACAGTCACTTCAAACAGGCTGATTATTTTGCTTCAGCATTAACTCCTCCTGATTTGTTTTAGATCTTGTTGGAGACTCTCATTTGCATGTTTTGATAACAGCTGCAGGGGAAACTTTTGGAAACAGTCCATGTCCATTCCAATCAAGTTTTCTCCTATTTTTTTTTAACGTTTCCTGCTGTTCCAACCGTTTGGCTTCAGGCTATTAAGAAAGAAGAGAGGAACCCAAACAAGGGGTTGGATTTAATACACAGATATTTGAACCAGACACTATATTATTAAATACAAGCATCAGCAAGCAACAATTAATGAAAGTTAATGGCTAGGGCGATCTGTTTGAGAGGTGCGATGCATATTTCAGGAGCCTTCTTTCTGCACCAAGTGGAAAGAACAGGTCTCCTTGCTGTTAGAATCTATGGAAATAGGGGGGGTGGAAGAGATTATTTAAACAATTAAAACCCATTCTGTAATTCTGAACGATCTACACTCAGCTCTGGACAGATCAGAAATCATTAAAGCCGGAGAGAGAGTGGGAGAAGGCATTTAACGTGAACCCAGAGCCTTAATTCCTGTCCAGGTGAAACTCCCTTTGCAATCAACAGGGCTTGTGACCAAATAAAGAAATGGGCCCATAGTCTGGGAGAGCTGTGTGGAGCGATAGGAAAACTTCTGATTCGTTCAATTAGCGCTCGGCCAGTTCAGAGGTTTTCGTGAGCCCCGTTTTGCAGAAAGATTTACTCACAAACTTCTGTCCTCGACTTGAAGAGTCGAACCGAGAGAGAGAGAGGGGCGTCTGACGTGCCCCCAGGTGTAATGCTGCAGCAGCTTGAATAGCCTCATAAGGGATGAATTACTGCATGGACAGCAGGTAAAATATGACGTGCTTATTTGTAGAGATTGCAGCTCGCTGGCTCTCAAAAAAAATCTGTTCGATTGAAGAGGGGTTAGGGAGGAGAACTAAGAGGGTTGCATGAGTTTTGAGTGAGGGAACTCCCCAGGAGAGAGAAAGACCCATGTGTTTAAATGGCCGGAGCCTGGGCTCCAAGCTGCCATAGCCAGCCCAGAATTTCCAGCCCCCTGATCTGAGAAAAGAACATTTGATGCCATCAAAGGGCTGCTGATTGAAACCAGATGTGCTTTCCTCGGCTCTTTCCATGCATTTAATTAAGGAGCCGGGATAGAAGAGACTTTTTCATCATTAGGTCTCCCCCCCCTCCTCCCCCCCCCCAAAGTTTCCCCTTCTCGGCCTGGAGCGCCCAGAGCTGTGCCAGCTCCGGGTTCCTCTTTGCATGGACAAATCTGAGCTAGCTAGAGAACCCGGGGACCTGTGTTTGCGTGATGAAATGCGTGTTTAGGAATCAGTGTGTGCCCTTCGGGGGGAGGGGAGAAGAGGGAGGGTGTCTGGAGGGAGTGCTTGTGGGTATCTTTGTGTGTGTGTGTGTGTCCGGAAGCACATGGCGGAGCGTGTCTGTGTGTTGAACACGAGTGCCTGCCTTCCTGAGGGGGCCTGCCTGTGTGCCTAGATTTGTGAGTGGGTGTGTTCGGACGAACGTGGGGCCCTGCCTGTGTCTCGCTGCAGCGTTGTGTTTCTCTGACTCGAGTCAGCCATGGAGCTGGGCACCCCGCAGCCAGCTCCCCAACGCTGAGCCCCCCCCTCCCCCCAGCCTTTTCACCGGCTTGCTACTGCTGCTTTCGCTTTGGATTGGCTCCGCTTTTCCATGCCTGGCCCGGCAGCTGGTGCGCCCGGGTGCCAGGGAGTGGCCGGACAGCCTGGTGGTGCGGGTTTGCACGCGAGGTGCAGAGGGGAGGTGCGTTGCTGTGCCCCGGCTGGCCACGTGGGGCAGCAGAGAGGCCGCGCGTGGGGGAATGCTGGGGGACACGCGGGCCGGGACAGCTGCGGGTGGGGGGCAGTGTCCTGGCTGTGCTAGGTCCAAGCAGCTGGGCCTGGTGCCCCGAGCTCAGGGGTTGAGGCCAGAGAGCTAGGGTGGGTGCTGCGAGAAATGAGAGACCCTTAAAGCACGGAGCTGGAGGAGAGGACACTGCGGATTCCCCGCGCCGGCTCCCTTCGGGGTGAATTTTTGACGCCTCCACCCCATGCCAGGGTGGAGCTCACTCCTTCCTGGGCGCTGGCAGCCGACCCGTGACCAGAGCAGCTGCACAGGACCGGAACGCCGACCCGTCGGCTATAGGCTGCGATCCTCAGCCAGACCTGCAGGGCCAGCCCCAAATGGGAAGGGTCGGGGAGGAGGGCTGGTTTACAGTTGGATCGGAGCGATGGCCTGTCCAGTCCCCGCGCCCTGACCCATGGCTCGCTCCTATGTGTACTGACCGGACCCAGCTCCGGCGCGGGGATTGGGCTGCAGACTGTAAAACCTCCGAGGGCTCCGAACCAGGTGACCTGCTCCCCGCAGCCAGCATGACGCGAGCTGAGATGAGGCCCGCCGCGGAATTAAATCCTCCCCCCCGGAGAGAAACAAGACCATCCTTCGAAATCTCCATTAATCCCTCCAACAGCTGCCTAGGCGAGTTGGGTTTATTTAACCTAGCTCTTGGCACCAAGCAGCCAGTCGGGGGAGAGCCCGCTTTCCCCGGCCTGCCCTTTAAAGCCAGCAGGGCTAGAGACACCCAAATCCCCCCAGGTTTCCCCAGTTTGTGATTAGAGAGGGTGGTAAATAAAAGGAAAGAAATCTAGGCGATGTATCTCCATCAGGTACACACCTAATCTAGGAGAGGGGCGAAGGAATCGCACACGGGCCAAGGGCAGAGACCAGAAATTAATCATAGAATATCAGGGTTGGAAGGAACCTCAGGAGGTCATCTAGTCCAGCCCCCCTGCTCAAAGCAGGACCAATCCCCAGTTTTTGCCCCAGATCCCCAGTGGGCCCCCTCAAGGATTGAATTTACAACCCTGGGTTTAGCAGGCGAATGCTCAAACCACTGAGCTATCCCTCCCCCCCATTAGCTCATTTCAGGTGCCCCAAAACAAGTCCCACAGATATTAGCGGCCAAAGCCTCAGGTGGGGAGCATTGGGCACAGGCCCCTTGACTTTCACAGTGGCAATTCACCCCAGCTGCCCAAGAGGGATGGAGAGTGGGTGTCTGTGCGAAGGAGGGACGATCCCCTTTAGCTGTGCGCGCTGCTGGAGCTAACCGGTGTGAACGGGAGCTGAAACTTCTCTTTCCAGCCCGGTGTGAAATCGGGGCAGGTGGCAGGGAGGATCCCGCCTATGATCTCCACTCCCGGAGCGTGGGCTGCTGCTGGTTGAAAACGCCCAACCGCTGGGTCCGAGGGAGAGGCCAAGTGCCTGCCGCGCTCTAGGGGCGGCTAGCGATGGGAGGCTGCTGCGATCCCTTCTCCTAAGCGGCTATCGCTCCCTTCAGCTCAGCTCCGGACCGCTTCCAGCCCAAGCGCAGCTGGGGAAACCGAACAGCGCCCGCGGCTGCTGAGCACCCCCCGCCCCCAGTAGGCAGGAGCTGGGGTTCCTGCGGCGCAGTGGGCAATGCACATGCTGCGCACCTTACACACAAGCCGCTTGGGCCCGAGCCCCGCGGGGGGGGGGACCTCAGCGGGCCAGCCAGAGATGGGGCGCGCGGGCTGTCGTGGGGAGAACGCGCAAAGGTTTCCCCAGGCTGCCTCTGCCGGGCGCGGCCAAGGAGCGGGGTAAAATGTTTGCACGTTGTTCCCATGAGCCCCAGCCTGCAAAATAAATGTACACGGTGCTATGTCAAATGTATGTTTACCACGGTAAGAACAAGTAAACCAGTTTGCATCGCCCCATGGACATGAATATGGCATGTTGGCTATCAGAGTAACATGCAGCCTGCATACGTGTAGATGTTAAATGTTTGCGTATTGCTATGACACCCTATATACAGTAAACTTGATGTAGCTTAGCGAGTGAAAATGTTTGCATGTTGTTACCATAATATACCACGAGGTAGAACTTTAATTTTAGCGCACGTTGTCAATTATGATAACTCGCAAACCTTTTACCTCATTAAGGTAACATTTATTGCATGTTATGTATTGTACATGTTTTCAGCAGAGCAGCTGACAATGCAAGTAGATGTAGCTACGCGACATGCTGTTACCATGGCACAGGTACATGCAATAATTAAATGGATATACAATCTGGCAAGGTTGGTTTTTATTCGGGATTTTCTGCCCATATTGCAATAAGCTATTAAGAACTTTGTCTTGCTTTCTACACCAAAAGCTTATTCAATGGGATGAACACCGTTTATTAATTCATATGAATTTAATGTTTGCGTTGCAACAGTGCCCACCAAATTTTTTTTCTTTCAATGTCACTTATATGCCTGATTTTTTTTTTCCTTCGCGTGTAACTGACGAAGTTTTTTCAAATCCCTCTGAGCAAGAGAAACAAAAATGAAGCCTTTATAAATGGAAACATGTCATTCCAACTTTGGAGATGTGAAAGGAATATTCCCTCACGAAACGTCCCAAAAGAAGTGTACAAAAATAGGAGTAAATAAATGGAAACCAGCACCCTTCCTAACTAAT